GTGGGAAATTGTCTCCCATGTCAACATTTTCACTTTTTCCTCAGGTGTGTGGTTGTGATTTTCAGTCCTCAGAAGAACAAACAAAGGCACATCTTTAATACGGCCAGGTAAGCCACAAGTTTGATTTTTCTTTTTTAATCCTTCCTGAAGCTTTGAGAGTTTCTCAGGGAAAGCGCCCTGACAATTACGTGGACCATGAGGTTCAATTGCTCCACAGTCGGTCAATTCATTGGGGACAAGAGGTGCAAGAAGCATATCTGTAATTTCCCTACAAGTGACGGAGGAATAGTCAGTAGTAGAAAAAGGCCTTGCATTCGTTGAATAAAAAGGTTTGGGACAGCAAGATATCAACCATGTTTTGTTGTCAGCCAGGTAGTCCTCAACTTACAACAATTACAACTTACAACAATTTATTTAATGACTGTTTGAGGTCACAACAGCAGTGAAAAGACTGGTTTTCACACTTAACGACCATTGCAGCATCCCCATGGTCACGTGATCATAATTCAGGCACTTGGCCACTGGTCCTTATGACCCCCCCCGGGGGTCATGTGATCCCCATTTGTGACCTTCCGACAAGCAAAGTCAACGGGGGAAACTGGATTCACTTAGTGACTTACGATTCGCTTGGCAATTGCAGTGATTCACTTAACAGCTGTGGCAAGAAAGGTCCCAAAATGGGACAAAACTCAGACCTGCCTTGCTTAGCCATGGAAATTTTGGGCTCAGTTGTGGTTGTAAGTCGAGGACTTCCTTTGGTGGATGTATTCTACTAGTCTTCGTTTCTATGAAGAAAGAAAGTAATGAAGGTTTTTTTCTCTCGTCTTAAGGAAAACTGTGACCGCTTTGTCTTTCTCTCCCGATGGGAAATACGTGGCCACTGGAGAGGTGAGTAAGTCTTCTAATAGAGAATACAATTAAAAAGATAAAAAGCCACACCAAGTAAAAATAATAAAATAGAAGGTTAAAAAAAAGGGTACTGCGAAGTACCGCTCTCTACATCACCTCTTCATCTTGTTCCAGTCATCAGTTGAGTTAGCTGTTCTTCCCCAGAAGCCCTGGACCATATCGGGCCCTTCTTATAAACCATGCAGGGCTACCCGCGGTGGGAATGGCGGATGTTTAAGAGGTGCTTACGATGAAACAGGAAGCGCTTCCTTAAGGATGAGTGCAGATTGAATACAAAAGCAAATGGCCTTAGGAAAGCAGGGCACTGAGGTAGGCCAGGGGAGAGAACGAGCGAGAATCAAACTCATGAAAGCATGAAGGAAGAGGGAGCGGGCCAAGAGAGGCTGAAGAGCAAAAGGCTAGACAAGAAGCCCTTTATGGAAGGGAGTGGACCAAAGAGAGAGAGAGAGGGGTGGAGAAGCATGGAGTGGAACTGATCTAAATTACATTTAATACATTTCTTTTGTGTTTCTTCTTTCAAGGAGAAGAATTTCTATTTATTTTTTTTTGCTTCTTCCTTTCTGAATAATGCGAAAACAGGACTTTGTGTAGCCTTTAAGGCAGCTCCTTGGTTGAGTTGACTGCTGCTCAGATGAAGGCCTGTTCTAATTCTTTTATTAATTTATTGGCATCCTGCCTTTATTATTCTTACAAATAAGTCAAGGTGGCGAACATACTGAATATGCCTTCCTCCTCCTATTTTCCCCACAACAACAACCCTGCGAGGTGAGCGGGCTGAGGAGAGAAGGACTGGCTTAAAGTCCCCCAGCCAACTTCCCTGGCTAAGGCAGGACTAGAACTCACCGTTTCCCGCTTTATAGCCTGCGCCTTAACCAGTCAACTAAACTGGCTCTCTACTGGGTTTTCTGCCTGCAGAATGGGCATCAGCCGGCCGTCCGAGTCTGGGATGTAGAGGAGAGGTCCCAGGTATCTGAACTTCACGGCCACAAGCACGGCGTGGCCTGCGTGGCCTTCTCTCCCAGTATGAAATACCTTGTGTCAGTCGGGTATCCTCACGACATGAAAGTGAACGTGTGGGATTGGAAGGTAAGAAACTCTCCTGCAGGGCCCACAGGGGGGGCCACATTCACAAGGGCCTGGAACCCCAAGTCTCTTCCGTGGGAGGCTGCGCACAGATTCTACCGTGGGAGGATCCAGGTGGAACAAATCGAACGGGAGAACTTCCATACGGTTCTCACATCCCGAAGATCCTGATAGATGGAGTGGAGTGGAGTGGAATAGAATGGAATAGAATAGAATATGAGAGAATAGAATAGAATAGAATAGAATAGAATAGAATAGAATAGAATAGAATTAGAAAGGAATGAATAGAATAGAACAGTTGGAAGCGACCTTGGAGGTCTTCTAGTCCAACCCCCTGCAGGCAGGAAACACTTCAGACCAGTGGTGGGATTCAAATTCTTTTGCTACCGGTTCTGTGGGCGTGGCTTGGTGGGCTGGGCAGGGGAAGGAGACTGTTAAATCTCCAGTCAAAGGTGGGATTTGCTGGTTCTCCGAACTACTCGAAATTTCTGCTACCGGTTCTCCCAAACTGGTCAGAACCGACTGAAGACCACCTCTGCTTTAGACAAATGGTTGTCCAAGCTCTTCTTAAAAACTTCCCGTGTTGGAGCATTTACAGCTTCTGGAGGCCAGTTGTTCCACTGATTAATTGTTCACACGGTCAGGAAATTTGTCTTTTGTTCTAAGTTGCTTCTCTCCTTGATTATGACAGGTTGGGCTTTGGTTTAGCATGTTAAGAGAACCCTGATATTATGGCTTGGACACTCAATCGTAGTTAAAACAAGCCCCAGTTAGCATGACGTGGCCACCCACCCAGATTGACAAACTCTTGTTTTCAGGATACAGCTACTCCAAAGCATCTGAATTTTGATCATGAGACTATGGGGACTTTGCAACGGCCGTCAATGTGAAAAACGGTCATAAGTCACTTTTTTTCAGCGCCCTTGTAACTCTGAAATGTCGTTTAAACGAACGGTTGCAAGTCAAGGGTGTATTTCTGTCCTGTGCACATCTTACCACCATTGCTGGGTGGTGTTTATTCCCCACAGAGCGATACACTCATCGCTTCCAACAAAGTCTCTTGCAAAGTTATGGCCCTCTCCTTCTCAGAGGACAGCTATTTCGTGACCGTCGGGCACCGCCATGTCAAGTTCTGGTTTTTGGATGGCTCCAGAGAAATTAAGGTAAGCCTGTACCTTATGCCACTTTAAGACCTGTGGCCTTCAACTCCCAGAAGCCCCCAGCCAGCTTGATGACCATGATGGCCTTTAGGAAGAAACTTTAAAAACTGCCTTAAAAATCTTTGATTTATTCATGGTCCCACTAAGCAGCAGCCATGGTATCCCATGTCCGTCTGTCTGCCTGTCTGTCTATCTATCTATCTATCTATCTATTCATTATTTTAGCATTGTCTATCCACTGCAGGATGTAGTCTTCTTCATGTTTCCAATCTATATGTTTTATTTCAGTTGTTTAAAAAAATTATGACTTTTGTCTCACCTAAGCTGCTCAGAGGCCTCCATAAACAGGAGACCTTAAAAATCCATTAAAGAAAGAAACCTGTTCAATACACAGCGTAGGTTGGAGTGGGCAACTCTGTTCCTTTTACAACCTGTGGACTTCAACTCCCACAATTCCTGAGCCAGCCACCATAGACATTCAGGGCTTGAAGTCCAACTCCCAGGAATTCTGGGAATTGAAGTCCACAGGTCATAAAGGAGCCATGGTTGCCCATCCCTGGTACAGGTAGTCTTCAACATGCAACCACAAAAATTCTGTTGGAAAGTGAGACATTCGTTAAATGAGTTTTATTCCATTGTATGACCTTTCTTGACAACTGTTAAGTGAATCACTGCAGTTGTTCAATCAGTAGCCTGGTTGTTAAGTGAATCTGGCTTCCCCATTGACTTTGCTTGTGAGAATGTCACAAAAGGGACTCTCGTGCCCCTGGGACACAGCAATGGCCATAAATTGTCAAGTGGCTGAATTTTGATCACGTGACCATGGGGGATGCTGCAGTGGCCATAACTGAAAAACGTCCCTAAGTCCCTTTTTTCCAGTACCGTTGTAAGTTGGAGTGGTTGTAAGTCGAGGACTGCCTGCCTAGACTGCAGCGTTCCCGGCCTCTTCCAGATCAAGGAGACGGTTCCACTGGTGGGTCGCTCCGGACTCCTCGGGGAGCTCCACAACAACACCTTCTGTGACGTGGCGTGTGGCCAGGGCAAAATGGCTGGCAGCACCTTCTGCATTTCGCACTCGGGGCTGCTTTGCCTCTTCAATGAGAAGCGCATCCTGGAGAAATGGATCGATCTGAAGGCAAGTGGGCCGTTCTGGCTTCTACGCGACGGGCGCTTGCTCCTTTGGGATGGCCCTCAGGGCGTCTTTCTCTCCTTCCCTCCAGGTGACGCTGGCCAATTGCATTTGTGTCAGCGAAGAATTCATTTTCTGTGGCTGTGCTAACGGAACTGTGCGCCTCTTCCAAGCACACAACTTGCATTACCTCTCGGATTTGCCCAAGCCCCACCACCTGGGCACCGATGTGGCTACCGAGCCCATCCTGAGGTACGGGGTTGCTCAGGCTAAGCTGGAGAATACAGCGGCACCCGATAGATCACACACCATCCCAAGGCACGCACCAAGATTGTGTGCTTTCTTCATGGCCCAAACTCACCTGGGCAGCTTTCATGGCTAAGGCAGGGCTAGAACTCCCCGTCTCCTGGTGATTGGCCCACAGTCACCCAACTGGCTTTTGTGCCTAAGGCGGGACTAGAACTCCCCGTCTCCTGGTGATTGGCCCACAGTCACCCAGCCGGCTTTTGTGCCTAAGGCGGGACTAGAACTCCCCGTCTCCTGGTGATTGGCCCACAGTCACCCAGCCGGCTTTTGTGCCTAAGGTGGGACTAGAACTCCCCGTCTCCTTAACCACAAGACCATACTGGCTCCCCCAAACATTGATTTTTCCTGCATTTGTAAAAGTGCCAGATATGGGCTTCTTGATTCTTTGGGAAGCCTCATCTTTCCAGAACCAGCGGCCTTTATTTTCAGCCAGAGCAGCTCAGGTTGTGTGGAAGCTATAATGGCAGCGCATTGGATTCTCTTGTGCTTCCCACCCCTTTCCTGCCCGTCTTTGGTGTTTTCCAGAAAGCCAGATGCCTCCTTCCCAGATGCTATTGCTGTCGTCTTCGACCCTCGACGTCACTGGCTCTCCTGTGTGTACAAGGATCACAGCGTGTACATTTGGGATGTGAAGGACATCGGCCACGTCAGGAAAGTGTGGTCTGATCTCTTCCACAGCTCCTTTGTCTGGAACGTGGAGGTAAAGGGCTCCTTTGGTTGGGAAAGGAGGAGGACACCAGGAACAAAGTACTTCCTGGAAGTCACTTGCTAAGATCCTGGGTGGCCTCCCTGGAAAGTCTCTTGAGTTGGATGGGAGGTCCTCTGCTCCCTCAGCAGGTCTCCCTGCTGTCAGGGTTCCGGCGATTGCCCTAATTAAATCATGAGCCTCGAGCCAAGCTTCAAAAGAATCCAAAAGATTTATTAGGAGCAACATGTCGGCATTGACCCATATGAAGCCAACTCTGCCACACGTAATTTACGGTCCCCTATTACCCTGTTTCCCCCCTCCCCTCTGGGTATGTCACAAATCAGATTCTCCCATGAAGGATTTTTGAGGGCAGAAGATCCGGTAGCCTCGGCTACAGTCTTTGTAAGATAAGCCTGGAATGTACTTCTGGTTTCAATCGCCGTACTGCTCCTTCAGGTTTTTCCCCCCACCTGCTTATGGTAATTCAAAAACAGGCACAGGAATGCTCAACCAGTTGACACCTTGTCTTCAGAGCTCAGCCCCCATTGATTCTGTGACAAGGACGGTTGGGTCAGCAGGGATGGAAAGAAGTAGGTCCCCGTGAGTCTCTCTGGAGTGTTAATAGTCCCACTCGCCTTCTTGTAGCTCCATGTTAGGTTTATCCTGAGTTTGAAGATCATCAGGGTTGATGTTCCCACCTGTGTTTTGTGATTTTTGCAATATCCCTTCTCCAGTTTCAGTTCCTTCCAAAGAATTTACACCAAACAATTTACATGGGCTTCATCTTGGGTTTAGCCTGAGTTTAAAGATGATCAGTGTTGATGTTCTCCCTTGTGGGCTCCATCTTAGGTGTATCCTGAGTTCGAAGCCCATCAAGGCTGTTTGCCTGCAGGGTCCTTTCTAACGTGTTCCTCAGACAGCACTATACGGTTTTGGAACTTGGAAAACAGCACGCATGGACCTTTCAAGAAGAACGTCTACAGCGACGTAAGTTTCTCACCTTTCTCGCAAGGCAGTCGTAAGATCGGCTCCCCTCCCCCCTCCACCGACGAGGCTGAGTGTGTATTTCAAGGGCTGAACAGAATTAAAAACCTCTCCTTCTTAATTTCCTTTGAACTGTCTCTCTTGAAGTGGCATGACACACTCTTTCCTCCCTAAAGAACTTACTGAAGGTGGTGTACATGGAAAAGGGGACTCAGTATTTGCAAGATGCAACTAATTTGCCGGACCGAAACGACAACGTCGGCTACCTGGACGTAAAATCCGGCGTCCGAGTGATGCAGATCAGCCCTGATGGCCAGCACTTGGCTTCTGGGGACAGAACCGGGAATCTGAGGTGGGTTGTTCCTTCCCTGGTGGATGTCTGTCTGTGGCAGTACCCACTTAACGCTTCTGTGTCCCTTCCACGTTGGGATAACACTTTAGCCTGGCACTCACAGCTGGGCAAGACGTCGGCTAATCCAGAGGCCTCCAAACTTGGCAACTTTAAGTCTGGTGGACTTCAACTCCCAGAGTTGAAGTCCCAGAGTTGAAGTCCACCAGTCTTAAAGTTGCCAAGTTTGGAGACCTCTGTGCTCATCCATCTGACAAGTATGGGTAATTCTTGACTTACAACAGTTCATGGAGTAACCATTTGAAGTTACAATGGCATTGAAAAAAGTGACTCATGACCATTGAGGTATCCCCTTGGTCACATGGTTATGACGGTTGCAGTGTCCCAGGGTCATGTGATCCCCTTTTGTGGCCTTCTAATGATGGGGAAGCCAGGTTCACTTAACAGGGATTTTGTCAGGATTCCAGCAGTTACCCCAAATAAACCATAAGTTTTGAGCCAAACTTCCAAAACTTCGAAAGGATTTATTGGGAGTTAACACGCCTGCACTGCCTGGGTGTAGCTGACCCTGAGACACATCATTCATTGTCACCTTTGACCCTGGTTTTTCCCTCCACCCCTCTGGGTGTATCGTAATTCACGTTTTCCAATGGGACACATTCATAGCCAAGAGTCATCCATCATGCTCTCCAGTTAGAATTTTGCTCCGCAGAAAATTCAGTCACCTAGTTACTATCTTTGAAAACATTGATGGAATGCAGTTTCGGTTTTGCAAGCTGCCCCACTGCTCCCATCTCCCTTTTTGTTGGTAACCTAAAAAGACCAGATAAATATTTTATGAGTTGACAGATTCATTTAACAACTGTGTTATTAAAAACTGCGGCAAGCGAGGTTGTAAAATGGGGCAAAACTCGGTTAACAACTGTCTTGCTTAGCCAGCATAAATTTGGGGCTCAATTTGTAATCCGAGGACTGAAAATGGTTTTCCGGCAATCGACAGCCATAAAAATCTCACAGGTACCCTGACTGATTTTGCTCCCTTGCCAATGTTTGATCGTCGGACGTGGCTGGTAGGTTTTCGTATTTCTGACAGGTTTTGTACTTCTGATTCTGCATAAATACCAAACTTGGATTCCAATAAGCTAGTTTCAAACTGTTTTTTTTAAAAATTGTCTTTTTCTCTTGCAGGATACACGAGCTGAAATTCATGGCGGAAGTGATGAAATTTGAAGCCCACGATTCGGAAGTCCTCTGCTTAGAATATTCCAAGCCAGAAACAGGTTGCTTTTTAAATGTGGAAATTTGTGCAGCTGAAATTTTATATTTTTTTATGTCAGGCCTGTTCCAACCTGCGACTTGCGGGCTGCAGGCTGTCCTGAACAGCTAGTAAGGCAGACCCACTAGATCCTAAACTTTTAACCCTATGTGATTTATATACATTCACTATATTATGTGCAGGTGGTCCTCGACTTACAATTGAGCCCAAAATTTCTGTTGTTAAACGAGACATTTCTTAAGTGAGTTTTGCCTCATTTTACGACCGTTCTTTCCTCGGTTGTTAAGTGAATCCCTGCAGATCTTAAGTGAGTATAACAGTCGTTAAGCGAATCTGGCTTCCCCGTTGACTCTGCTTGTCAGAAGGTCACAAAAGTGGATCGCATGACCCTGGGACACAACGACCATCATAAATATGAGTCGGTTGCCAAGCGTCTGGATTTTGATCCATGGGGATGCTGCAAAAATTGTAACTCGGTCCTAAGCAGGGGTGGGATTCGACTGGTTCGGACTGGTTCGGACCGGTTCGAGCGAACCGGACATTAAAGTGACAGCTGGTTCACCGAAACGGTATTTCAACCGACTGGCTGGCCCTGCCCCTCCCGCCCCTCCCCACCCAGGAGTGGCCCATTTTCGATGGAGGTAAGTTCAGGGTCCGTGCAGGGGCTCTGGGAGGGGGGAAAACTGGGCTTCTGGAAGTCCGGAAATGGGCCGTTTCCAGCTTCCAGAGGGCCTCCAGAGGCCCGGGGGAGGCCTCTGGACCCTTGGCAGACTGAAAACGGCCTCCCCTGGGCTCTAGAAGCCCACCGAAAGCTGGAAACAGGAAGTTCCGGTCGGCCACGCCCACCCTGACCACACCCACCCAGCAACCGGTTTGCTGCCCAGTTGCTGGGATTTTGGAATCCCACCCCTTTTTTCAGTGCCATCTTAACTTCCAATGGTCACTAAATGGACTGTTGCAATCAAGGCCTGCCTGTATTTTGCATGCGGCCTCCTCACTCAGTGTGGCCCAGGCAAGCCGAAAGATGGGACACCCACGTGTTGTGTGTAGAGACCCATGACACCCACCCAGAAACACCCACCCTGCTATCCAAGGTATCCGAACGACAATTCTGTCATAGCAATTCTTGGGATTTTGGGGAGCAGCTTTGACCCCCTTTGCAAGAGATGCAACTCAAAGGGTCCCCCCCCCCCTCTGTCCGCAGGCCTGGCGCTCTTGGCTTCAGCGAGTCGTGATCGGCTGATTCACGTACTGAACGTGGGAAGCGATTATAAACTAGAGCAGACTTTGGACGACCATTCCTCGGCTATAACGGCGGTCAAGTTCACTGGTGAGCCGGCACAAATACCTTTCCCGGGAAACCGCTGCTCCAGGCCACTCAGTACAGAGCCCTGTGAAAACCTGTTTCTTCAAATCCTTCTGACCATCTTTCAGCCTTTCTCAAACTATGTTGGCTTAGGGGTGTTGTGGTTCATCGGCAGCCGGTGCAGGCGGCAGCGGAATCGGACAGTGGGGAAGAAAGGGGACCAGTCAGGGAGTCTGGAGAGGACTCGGACGAGGGTCCTGCATCCGATGCAGGGATGGGGGGTCAGGACCATCTGGGAGTGGGGGGCTGCCTCTGGAGTCTGGCCGCAGCAAGGCAGAGGAACAAGGGGAGCCTGTTCCCAGTGCGCATGTGCCCAGAGCTGCTAGGAGGCGAGAGCAGCTGAAGCAGAAGGGGCGACTCGGGAATAAGGCTGGGAGGTAATTGCCCCTCCCATAAGGGATAAAAGTCAGACCTCGGTGACGAAACCATTGCAGGAAGCAAAGTCGTTCGATAGATTCCGAGTCCTCCTTGCAGCTCTGGGCTTTTCTGGTACTTCAGTTGGTTTCTGTTACAATAGGAGACTTCTACTTTTGGCAACATCCCACAGCACCGAAAGGCGTGTACTTATCTTGGGGAATTGATTATAATTAGTTCTGGCTGGGAATGCAAGTAATTCCCAGCGTTGCAATAAAATAGGTTTTGCTTTTAAAACAAGTTTGTGTTTTAAGGACGTTTGACGAAGCCTGGGTCAGAACAAGTGGTCGCAGGAACGTGAAGCCTGGTTCTCCTGCAGGAATGGAAAAACTGGGCTTTGTTTTAGGGATGAAGCATAAATCTAAAAAAAAAAAGATTAAAAGCATAACTCTGAAAAAACAAATTATCATAAAATTATAATATCTTTTATATTATAAAAGATAAATTACGTGAACATGAGAAGGCTGATCTGCTTGGCCTTCTTTTCTCCATCAATTTTTCTTTCCCCCTCAATAGGAAATAACTGCATTCAGATGATTAGCTGTGGAGCTGACAAAAGCATCTATTTTCGCAGCGCGCAAAAGGTTCTCAGAATTATTTATTGTTATATTGTAAAAACATGCAATTAAGGTTCTTAGCTGGAGAGCGGTTTGGGCAGAATATAAATAGATATAAAAGAGTAGAATAGAGTCAGCTGGAGTTGGCTGCGTATAAATTGAATATATTTAGTTAAACATGAGTTGATTCACAATTTGGTGGCCTAGTGGGTTGTGTTGGCTGTTTGCTTTAGGTTGATTGAAGGAGGGTTGCAGAAAACTTACCTATGAAAAATTATCCAAACAGCCGTTGGTCAGGTGGGACTTCTTTAGGGTATAGCCTGCATTGACCCCAAATTGCTGGGAGCAGGTCTGTGCTCTTCTCCCAGGAATCTGGATGGAGAATTACAAAAACAGGGTTAGGTTGCATTTGTATTCCTACAGCTTGTTTGGAATTTCTGGCAATAATTAGCAGAATGTTGCTGATTTCTTCCTTTTTGCATTGAAATAACATTTCCCTTTCCTGGAATCACCGTGTATATATATATAGAGAGAGAGAGAGATTCACTCTGCCTATATCCTTGGTGGATTTATTCTGTAAGTCAGTTGCTTTCCAGTTGGAACCCATCATTTTAAGACGGCTGGATCCGAATGCGTACCCCAGCTTAAGAGGGTCTGCTTCCTCGCTCCAGGTCGGAGGTGGCATTAATTTTATCCGGTCTCACCACGTGGCTGAGAAGACCACGCTGTACGACATGGACGTGGATATAACTCAGAAATACGTGGCTGTGGCCTGCCAGGACAGAAATGTCAGGTGAGCTGCTCTCTGCCTGCTCCTGGCCCTCAGGAATGGCAGCATTTTAATGCCTGAGTGGGGCATTGGCTTTCCCCAAGCCAGGATTGGAGTCCAGCCTTAGGGGAGGCCGGCACGAGGAATGGCGTCTCCTGAATGGGCCTGTCCTCTGCCTGGAGCCAACCAGGTTCTGCAGGCTCTGAGGCCACCTTCACTCTCACCTTCCAGGATATACAACACGGCCAGCGGGAAGCAGAAGGGCTGCTACAAAGGGGCCCACAGTGACGATGGATCCCTGCTCAAGGTGAAGGAGAGGCCGGAAAAATGTCTTTTCCCCAGGGCAGAATTGGGGGAGCGGATCGTGGCTTGCACTGAGAGGGGTTTTTTCCCCCCAGAAGACAATTTAATGCCTCAGAGAGGCTTGGGAAAAATCAAAAAATTGTCTTAACAGTCCCTCGGCCAGTAGTTTTATTGGTACATCATCCAGAGACCCTGTGTGAGGGAGACGGGCAATTTCAAGAGAGAGGGAGAGAGAGGAGAGGATTGATAAACACATAGAGATGTACAGGTGATAGCCAGGTAATGATAGATAGATAATGATAGATAGATAGATAGATAGATAGATAGATAGATAGATAGATAGATAGATAGATAGAGCAATTTGCAGAGAAGTGACTGCTTGATGTCTGGTTTCTGATCCCTCTGCAGGTCCAGTTTGATCCTTCTGGAACATTCCTGGCCACTAGTTGCTCAGATAAAAGCATTTCCATCATCGACTTCCGCTCTGGAGAATGTGTGGCCAAAATGTTTGGGCACTCAGGTTTGCTATTCTGAATTTCTGTGATTTTTCTCTAAAACCCAGTCTCCCTTTGCTTGTTTCCTCTTAAATGTGCTACAAACTTGCATGACAATATATTCCCAAAATATACCATGCTCCTCCTCCTCCTCCCACAACAGAGAAGTGTGCTGGCTGATCCAGTGCTTTGCACATGCTCAGAGGCCCATCCTGTGAACAGGAGTGACACAGGTGATACCCGGAAGACCTTCGTTGCAAATTAGTCAAGGGGAACAGCGCAATAATTCACTTCTTCTACATTGCAGAGGTCATCACGGGGATGAAATTTACCTTTGACTGCAAACACCTGATCACCGTCTCAGGAGACAGGTGGGCAGTTTGATCTCTCCAAGGTGCACGTAGGGCTTCAAGCCTCGTGAGATTCCAAGCTCCTCCCGAAAGGAGAGCGGGAGAATTTCATGCACCCATTGGGGTGTGGTGGCCACCTCTGGATGAGGCTGTCTGTGCCATGGGGCGGCCTTCGGACGCAGGCTGGAAAGAGCAGCGTGGGTGCCCCACACCGCCAGGGATCCCTGTTTGAACAGCAGGTATGCTTCTGTTTTTTCAGTTGCATCTTCGTGTGGCGCCTGAGCCCTGAAATTACCGCTTGCATGAAGCAGCACTTGAGGGAACTGGAACAGATCCAGGAGCAGCAGGAGGTTGGAGACTCTGCGTGGCCTCCCCGGATCAGGTACCGGACCTGCCTTGCATCTCGAGTTCGGGAGAAGGGCAGAAATTCTGACCCGGCTCTGTAAAGAAGGGGTTGTTTTGAACCTTCCTTTCCAGGGTGGAAATGTTTGAAAGGGTCCCCCACCGGGATATGGTTGATTTTGACCTGGAGGAGGAGGAGGAGGAAGAGGAGGAGGAGGAGGAAGAGGAGGGAGAAGAGGAAGAATTAGCTCAGCAGACTCCAGTTAAAGATGACCTCCATCCAGGTACAGCTGGGGACAAGGCACGCCCGACGTTATCTGAGTTAGCGGCAGTTTTATCTGCTTTGTCATTTTATATCTGAGGATTTTTAACGCTTGTTTATGTTTTAAACTGCAAATTAATAATAATAATAATAATAATAATAATAATAATAATAATAATAATA